TCTCCAAAGTTTAATTATGCTTCATTATTCAATTTTTTGCATGTATATGCATGTTTTGCTTGTGTGTGCACGCACATGTTTTTATAGGTGCAGAAGCACAGGTGTGCGTGTACATTTGGAAGCCTGAAGTTGACATCAGGTATCATCCTTGATTGCTCTCTGCTTTATAGAGGCAAGGTTTCCTGTTGAACCCAGAGCTCACCAATTCTGGCTAATCAGCATATTTCCAGACCTCCCTGTCTCTGCACCCTAAGTGTTGAGATTATAGGCAGTGACCACACCTACCCAGCTTTTACATGGATTCAGGGGATCCAGACTGGTCCTTATACTTGCACAGCAAGTGCTTTGACCATCTCTCCAGCTCCTATTGTTCCATTAAAAATTATTTATGTATTATATGTTTTTAGGCAGGTCTGTGTGTCCCAGACTGACCTTAAACCTCTCTGTGTAACTGAGGATGACCTTGAACTCTTGATCTTCTTGCCTCTACCTTCCAAGTGTTGGGATTGCAGGTGTTTACCACCCACTTGTTTTTATGTATTACGGGGATTGAACTCAGGCCTTCATAGGCAAGCACTCCACCAACTGAGCTACATCCCCAGCCCCTATTACTCCATTTTTGAATGGACATTTAAAATATTTTATTTTTTATTTTTATTTTATTTTATGTGTATGAGTGTATTGCTTGTATGTAAGTACACCCATGTTGTACAATGCCCACAGAGTCAGAAGAGGGCGTGGGATTCCCCTGGAACTGGAGTTACAGATGGTTATTAGCTGCCATGTGGGTGCTGGGAACTGAACCTGAGTCCTTTGCAAGAGCAGTGCTCTTAACTGTTGAGCCATCTCTCCAGTCCATTAAATGGACAGTCTTTTAAAAATAATGGTTAGCTAGGGCTTAAGGATTGAGAGGCCGGAGGATATGGGTTTGAGGAGGTTGGAGAAAACTAGGTGTAGCCATAAAAGCAACATGAGGAATTTTTGTGGTTATGGAACTTTTCAGTATTTGACCATGGTGGTAGATACATGAACCTGTATGTGTGGAAGAAGTTGTATAGAACTAAATACCATACACAAATGAATGCAAATCAACTGGAGAAATCCGGATTAGATCAGTGGATTTCCTCAATGAATGCCAGTATTTTGGTTATTCTAATATAGTTTTGCCAGACATTGCCATTGGGAGATTCTGAGTACAAGGTACAGAGGATCCTATACACAGATTACAGTAAAAATTTCCATGAGAATTAAATCTGTATTTATTGTGATAGTGAACTCACCAAAATATTCTACCTGGAGACAGATTCAGCTGGAGTAGCTGGTGCTTTCCATTAGTAGGACTAGAGTGCTAGAGGGTCCTAGAGCCTAGAGTAGAAGGTAGGGTACAGTGGGTTCCAACCCTGCACTCCGCTTGCTCCTGTAAAGATCTGAGCGCTTGTAGCATGTCTGAGGAGACTCAGGGTCCACTGCTCATCATCCTGTGAGTAAAGAACTATGGCTTCAGTGCTCACGTATCAGAACAGAGAAGCGTTGTGGGGGCAGAATAAGCTTTGATGTGGGCAGCTCAGCCCCCATCTTGCCCAGCACATTCCCAGTGCCACACACACACACACACACACACACACACACACACACACACGTTCCTTGTGCTGTAGCATTGGCTCTAGAACAGCATGGTGTGGCAGAATGCTTCTCAGAATGTGCCAGGTACAGGGGGATCACAGTATCTCCAGGACCCTGCAAGGGAACCTCTTGGGTCAAACCTATTTTTAAATAATACTTAGACATCATTTGCCAATCACTCTCATGCTTTTAGAAGTGTACAGTGGAGTTTCCCAGAGACCATATGAGGAGAAATAGCAACAAATTAAATACAGAGACAGATAAGAGAATCCAGCATTTTCTATTAAGGGAAACATTAAAAAGACTTGAGAAAATATATACCAGTACCGGGCGTGGTGGCGCACGCCTTGAATCCCAGCACTTGGGAGGCAGAGGCAGGCGGATCTCTGTGAGTTCGAAGCCAGCCTGGTCTACATAATGAGTTCCTTTCCAGCTGGAGCTACAGGGAGACCCTGTCTTAAAAAGGCATTTAAAAAACAAGAAAATATATACCCGTCAAATCACCCTTCAGATTTTTTTTGTTTTTGTTTCGAAAATATAGATATTTTCCTTAAAATAGATTATATGTTAACTTGTAAAGTATTACCATTATTTTGAAATTATCTTTTTGGTGATCATATCTATGTATGAATTTTTTTCAATGTATAATTTTTATTGAATTTTTGTGCTTTTCATATACTACATCTTAATCATATTTAGACCCCCTCCCCTATCTAAATCCCCTGTAGCCTGCCCAGCAGATTTCATGCATTCTGTAATATATGTTAAGGCCTATCGAGTCAAGTTTGTGTATCCAGCTGTCCTTCAGTGTGAGCTCCTCCACTGGAGCCTGTTCAGCCCATCTAGTGTCACTCCCTTAAAGAATACCAACTCTCCCTCACCCAGCAGTGGCCAGCCACCAGCAGTTCCTCAGATAAGGTTGGGGTCTCCTGCTCATTTCCCCAGCTCTATGCTGGGCTTCTGTCTGACTTTGCATGTGTCTTGCATGCTGTCACCATTGCTCTAAGTTTATATGGGCAAGTTCCTAGAAACCTGGAAGACTCTGTTTCCTTGTGGTCATGAGCCACCCTGACTCTTACAGTCTTTCTGCTTCCTCTTCTGCAATGGTCCCTGAGCCCTGAGTTTCTTATTCTCTATACTTTGGCCAGTTGTGGCCTTCTGTGTTCATCATCCTCTGTTGGATGAGGAAGCCTTGCTGGTGAGAGTTGAGAGATGCATTAGTATTCTCTCTACCCCCTGTTCCTCCACTATGTTCTGTGCATTTTAGGTGTGTAGAGGTTGCATTATAGATGTGTCACACTTATTCTCTGTGTGTGACCTATTGTGGAACTCAGTAATAGTGTCCATCTGTTGCAAAAGAAGCTTCTTTGATGAGCAGTGACAGGTATACTTGTCTATAAATATAAGGATTCATATTTAGGATCCATATTTAGCATATAGCAAGAAATTACATTTGTATAGGAATATGACAGATGTAGGGTTTTCTCTAGGATATATGACCTCTCCAGCCATGTATATTTGGCTATGTTTACAGTACTACGTGAGTTCCCTCCCATTGAGCAGACTTTAAGTCAAATTATATAGCTGTTTATTACCCCCAAGATAAAAATGCTACAACTGCATGGATATAGTTTGTTTTGCCAGTCATTGTTAGGAGGCTGGAGTTGGACCATTGATTGATGTTCTCCCTTAGCAGCTTGCATAGTGTCCTCTAGCACTATGAGAGCTGGTCTTCAGGGAGGAGGCATCCAGGTCAGTTCCAGCTCCATTGCTGCAAGGCCTGTGTCTGAAGTATGCCTTGTCTTCAGCAATAGAATCTTACTTTCAAGCTCTGGGAGGCAATCAAGAGCTGTGGCAATAGCCTTTTTTATTTTAGGAGTCTCTTGGACCACCCTGACCAACAACTCGAAGGGAGGTTTCTCCTGTCTGGCATGTGTTTCTTGTTGTATAGCCTTCAGCTGTATACTTGGCACTCATGAACAGACGCTGTATGTGTATTTTTCGGTAGGCTTTTGAACTACTGAATTTTCTTCTGGTTTTTCATACCACTTAAGCATTATTTATCTCTCCTCTCTCTTTCTCTGTGTAGCCCTCCCTCCTGCCTTCCCAGTTAAAGTACCCCCATTTTCCCCATTTCTCCCTTGATAATACCGATCTCCTATTACCCCCCCTTGAGTGCCTTCTTCCCCTTTACCCCCCATGGTCCTTGTGTCCCCCCCTTCTCAGTTAAATACCCCCATTTTACCTATATGAAATTATTCATATGAAATTATTAATATTAAAGAATTTTATCAGTTTGAATTTTTTTTTTTTTTGAGATACAGTCTTACTGTGTAGCCCTGGCTGGCCTGGAACTTGCTATGTAGACCAGGCTGGCCTGGAACTTACAGAGATCTGCCTACTTCTGCCTCTTAAGCGGGACAACACCAGACCCATCTAGTCTTAACTTTTAAGAGGTCAGTAACAGTAGATATAACTCCAGTAGTTTTTGAGAATGTATAGGAAGGACGTTTGCTTCGTACCACAGTCTAAGAATTGTTGCCTTGGCAACTTAAAGTCCATGGACTTAAGTTCTAGTCAGAGATTTGCCTTTTGACCATACATAAGTCTGTTAACTTATTTCTTCTTAAGTAAATGGTAGTAATTTTATCCTGATCTATGCTCCTAAAGGAAAGGAAAGTAATAAATATGAAAGTCATTGAAGACATAATGTCCTGTGCTAAATGCTGGGAGTTTAATAGTTCTATGACTAAACTGATACTGGAAAAAAATGTAGTGTTTCAGGCATATTAACTGACAGTCTGATTTTTATTTTAATTTTAGTATCTAATCCTTCTACATTAGTTTTTCTCAGTTTCTCCTATAACCATTTTATTTACCAAAAAGCATTAAGTGAATACACCTTCCAGCCCTTTTAACCAAGAAGAGGGAATCTCTGTTCCTATTCCCTTGAATTAGTGTGATAAGGTCTGGAGCTCTGAGAAAAAGTCTGCTGGCTTCGTGACGTTGGGAAAGTTACTCCAACCTCTCTGTGCCTTGCCTTCCTCATGGGAGACTTTATTTTCAGGGAATTGTATGAGAAATGAGAAATAAGTCACAGACGCACCTGGCAAAATAGCCGGTGTGTGATGGCTGCACCTTAAAAATAGTTGCAAGATTTTCATCTACATAGAGCACGTATAAATTATTAGTGGATATACCTGATTTGACAAGCCCCCTGTTGGTGGACATTGAGATGTGCATTTGCCATTGCTGTGGCAGTGAATTCTCTTAGGCAAGCATTGCTCCTGGCTCAGTGAATTGAAGCTAGTTTGTTCACAAGTTTATCATCAGAAATTCTTGTTTCATTTCTTCTTCTTTCCCTCTCTCCTTGACAGGGCTATTGAGTGGCCAGACTTCTCCAACAAATGCCAAACTGGAAAAGCTGGATTCTCAGCAGGTGCTGCAGCTCTGCCTCCGGTACCAGGACCACCTGCACCAGTGCGCGGAGGCCGTTGCTTTTGATCAGAATGCTTTGGTTAAGCGAATCAAAGAGGTAATGTGCCTGTCGCAAAGAATTCCATCGCAGCCTCATGGCAGGATAGCCAGCGGTGGGCCGTAGTCATTTTCCGTGTAAAGCTGGACATTTATCCCCATTTGGAAGGGAGGAGGAGTCATAAATTTGCTTTACTTATACATTTGAATTCACCTTAGCTTTTTCTTGTGTATAATTTATATTTTCCCCAGTAGGTCATTATTTACTTGAAAGTAGGAGCCTTGACATGTTCTTCACTCATATTTTTCACAGTGTTAGTATATGAAAAGCTCAGTGGTTCTTATTGGCTGAATTTGGCTGAATGGAAGTAATCATGCCTATTTAACCCAAAAAGCTTTTGTGAACATAGACGGTGTCATTCACATGAAATAACCAGGAAATTAAGGGACATGGTACAGAGTCAAGGCTGTAGATTAGTTGATAGAGTCCTTATCTAGCATGCATGAAGTGCTGGGTTCCATCCCTAGCACTGCATAATCCTGTCATGGTGATGCACACCTGTAATTCCAACACTCGGTGTGAAGGCAGGAGAATCAGAAGTTCAAGGTTATCCTCAGCTACATAGCAAATTGGAAGCTAGCCTGAAATACATAAGACCCTGTCAAGAAAGAAGGAAAGAAAGAACATGATACAAATGCGTGGTTACTAGTAAGTAGGTTCTGAGCACTGAAATGATTCATTGACCAGGCCATTATGTGGCACAGTTTTTGGAGCACCAAGGAATAACAAATATACATTTTAAATTTTCAACCAAAAGGGATTTATAGCTAGATGTGCTGGTGCACACCTCTAATCCTAGCACTTGGAGGCAGAGGCAGGAGGATCTCTGTGAGATCAATTTTAAAAAAAGGATTTATATTCCAAACATCCCAAGGTAGTATCATATGAATGAAAGGTGAGGAACTTTATCATGTTGAAGTTGCTTAGGTGAATGGCACTCCCTGGATTTGTTCAACAAACTTCCCTGGGTCATTAAGCCTGGTAAGAGATGGCAAACATGAAGAACAAGGGATGTGTTGACCATCACTACACATCACTTTTCTTTTCTTTCTTTCCTTTTTTTTTTTTTTTTTTTTTTTTTTGAGAACGGGTTTCACTTTAGCCCCAGCTGACCTGGAACACTCTGTAGACTAGGCTGGCCTTGAACTCACAGAGATCCGCCTGCCTCTGCCTCCCAAGTGCTGAGATTAAAGGCATGTGCCACTACACTCAGCATTACTTTTCAATTAGTAATAGAGCCGGTATATCCTTGAAGATGATGAAGTAGCCATTCATGATACTAACAGGTTTAAATTGGCCAGCACCTCCACTATTTTAACATTATCTTTCATAAAAGATATGAACATATACACTCTTCTTTCATGGATTAAATACTTGTAGTCAGATTGTCATCACTGTGGTAAAATACCTGACATAAACTTATTTTAGTTTTCAGTCCATGGTCACTTGGCACCCTTGTTTCTGGGTCATGGTAAGGCAGAGCATCATGGTGGGAAATATGTGATGGAGCAGAGGTGCTCACCTTGTGGCAGCCAGGAAGCAGATAGTAAAGGGAACAGGGACACGATACCCATCAAAGGTATGCCCCCAGTGACCTACACCCTTCAGCCAGGCCCTACATCCCATTACTTCCCAATAAATGCCATCATACTGTGGAAGGAGTTAATCTACCGATTAAGTCAGATCCCTCATGGTCCAATTACTCCCCAATGATTGGATCCACAAGCTAGGGACCAATTCTTCAACACCTGAACATTTTGAAGAACATTTCATATTCAAACCATAACAAGTGTTATAATTTGGCAACTATTAAAAGGCCTTTTTTTACTTTTGCCTTTCAAAAAAAAAAACTTTTTTGAAGTCAGGATCTCATATAGCTGAGGCTGGTCTGGAACTTGATACATAACTGAGGATGGTTTTAAATTTCTAATTGTCCTGCTTCCACTTTCTAAGTGCTGGGATTACAGGTGTGCACCACCACACCCCATTTATGTGGTGCTGGGGATAGAACCCAGGGCCTTGGGCATGCTAATGCTAGGTGTGATGGATAGCTTTAGTGTCAACTTGACACACCTGGGTTGAGGGAGCCTCAGTCAGGGAATTGCCTCTATTGGACTGGCCTGTGGCCATGTCTGAAGGGCATCTTCTTGATGAGTGATGTGGGAGGGCCCAGTCCGCTGTGGGTGGTGCCACCCCTGGGCAGGTGGGCCTGTGTTGCATAAGAAAGCAGGCTGAGCAGGGGCCAATGGAGCAAGCCTGTAAGCAGCGTTCCTCCATGGGCTGGGCTCCAGCTCCTGCCTCCAGGTTCCTGCCCTGAGTTCCTACCTTGGGCTCCCTGATGAACTGCATGCGACCTGGGAGATGTAAGACAAATAAACCCTTTCCTCCCCAAGTTGGTACTGGTCAGAGTGTTTTTTCACAGCAATGAAGAACAAACCAGGACACTAGGTAAGCACTCTACTATCCCCAGGTCTGGTCTTTCAAAATTTATATACTTATTCTGTTATATTATGGTCTATAGAGCTCTAATCCCCAAACATGAGTATGCATAAGTATCACTTGGATTTGTTTATTTGAATGATGAGTTCTCCCCTCCTCCACAAGGGTGTGACCTGTGAATCATTGCTTTTAGAAGCTTGCCAAATGATACTAATGCTGCCCTTCATTAACTGGGATGTGAGAACCACTGGTATCAAGGACTGTTTTCCAAAACAGGTCCTAAAAATCTAGTTCCATGTAGGTTAGACTTTTGCATATTCATTACCATACCTTGGCGAGTCACAGTAGGAATCACCTTAGGAGTCTTACAGTAAAGGACACCAGTGCTTTCCAAACTAATTTCTCCTCAGAACACTTGTCTTAAGTAGCATCCATCAGAATCTCATAGAAGTAAAAGCGTTTTTATTAGCATAAAGTCATTGTATAAAATAATGGGGTTATAATGACACCTTCATAAATGTACATCATATACTTTGATCATATTCACCCCCATTATGCTGTTTTTACATCCTCCCACCTCTGCTGGTCCCCTCTTCCCAAGTAGTTTCCTACTACTTTCATGTTTTATGAAATCTTTTTAATATTTTTCTTTACTCTTTGAGAATTTCATAGATATATACATTTCCTTCCCACTTCCCCCTCAAAACCCTTCAAGGCCCCCAGTACATCCCCCTCCCAACTTCATTTTCTCTTTTCTTTTATATATGATCCACTGAGTCCGATTAGTGCTGTTTGTGTGTGCATGGCTGTGGAGCCATCCACTGGAGCATGGGCAACCTACCAGGGATCACACCCCTGAGGAAAAGTGACTCTCCCTCTCCATAGCCATCAGCTGCCAATACCTCCTCAAATTGGGGCGGAATGTTGAGTGACTTCATCGTGTGCTGGTCTTGTGCAAGTAATCATAGCTGCTCTGAATTTATGAGTGCAATGGCCCTGTCATGTGCAGAAGACACTATTTTGCAACAGTCTTCCCTAACCTCTGGCTCTTACAATCTTTCTGCTGCCTCTTCTGAGATGTTCTCGGAGCTTGAGGAGGGTGGTGGGGATACTTATTTTCATTTAGGGCTAACGCTCCATAGTTACTTATGCTCTGCTGGTACTGATCTGGAAGTTCCGTCCTTGCTGACCAGCTTTCATAGTGGCAGAAGTGCTATGCAGGTTTCTGCAAGGGCATGGGGGGAGACAAGTCTTACTCTACCCAGCTGTGAACCCTGCAAGCTACACTACCAACCAGCCTGGCAAGATATGCCTGTTGGTGCACTAGTGGCACAAATTTTATAGGGAAAGCCCTTGGCTTTCTGACTGAAAAGTGCTGATGCCTAATCTTCATCCAAGCCAATTAGGCCAAATTCTTTTAAGGGTATTGGCAGAGGGAAGGGGAAGCTGGGCACCACTATTGGTGAAACTATTCTAGGTGATTCTCGTATGGAGCTAGAATTGGGAACCAGTGTTTGGAGCATCCATTTAACACATTAAACTGAGTTTAAAATTCTGTTTGAGGAACTTTGAGATTCATTTTGGATAGTCAGGGTAGATTGACCATCCCCAAGTCAAATTCACAATCTGAAATGCTCTAGAATCTGAAAGGTTTTGAATACCAACATGATGCCACAAGTGGAAAGTTCTGTGTCTGAATTCATGTGGTCGCATTCAATACACATGCACAGGGCTGGGATGTAGCTCAGTGGAAGAATGCTTGTCTAGCATGGGCAAGGCCCTGGGTTCCATCCCCAGCACTATTAAAAACAAAACAAAACAAAACAAAAAAACATACAGGCATGCTAAAATATTGTCTAAAATTGTCTTTAGGCTATGTATATAAGGTATACATGAAGTGTAGCTGTATTTCATGTTTAGAATTAGGTCCCATCCACAGGATCTATCTCATGTGTACAGCATTCCAAAATCAAACAACAAAGAACCCCTGAAACACTTCTGGTTCCAAGCATTTCAGCTGGGATAGTTAGTCTCTAGTTATTCAGGATTATTACAAAACACAAGACAGTTCTCACAGCACTGAGCCATCCCTCAGCAGCTCCCTTAGAGCAGAGGGAGTGAACAGTTTCAGGGTTTCCACTGGTGATGTAATATGTCCCTTGTATTTCAGCTGCGGAGTGTTAGCAAACTCCTGAAACGTTTGTCCATCTCTGCTCATTGCAAACCTAAGAGTTAGGATTAGTCAGCTCCAAACGAATAAGCAGAGCTCTCTGCTGTTGCTCCAGATGCTTCCTAGAAATTTGGTTGGAAGTGTGAAGAAGTGACATAGTGCTCTATGTGTTGAAAGCAGAGACTTAGTAGCCACCAGGAATATGAGACCACCGTAAAGTTACAGGGCCTGTAATCACTTTAGTGCACATCAAATGTCTTGTTTACCATTTTTGACTCACATAATATTGAAGTTAGGTAATTTGATGTTAATTTGGATGGTGCTCTTAAATGAGAAGTTTATGTTTACAAATATGTATGTGTAAGAGGGGAGAGACAAGAATGGAAGCGGC